GGGAAGGCAAGTAGTGAGGATGACACAAGGAGTCTGCCAAGGAACATAGACAGGTTTAGTGAGTGGGCAAGGCATTGGCACACAGAAGATAATGTGGGAATGTGAGATTATGCACTTTGGCAGGAAGAATAGAGAAGCTGAATATTATTTAAATGGAGAAAGCTGCAACACAGAGGAATTTGGGAGTTCTTGTACATAAATTACAAAGAGCTAGCATACAAGTTCAGCGGGTGATAGGCAAAGCCAATGGAATGATGGCCTTTATTTTAGAGAATAGAGTTTAAAAGTAGGGAGGTTTTGCTAAAACTATACAAAACACTGGTCAAACCACAACTGTAATACAGTAAACAATTTTGGGCTGCTTACCTTAGGAAAGACATACTGGCATTGGAGGCAGTCCAGAGAAGGTTCACCAGGTTGATTTTAGGTATATAGGGATTTTCTTATGAGGAGAGGTTGGGCCTGTACTCCCTGGGACTGAGAAGAATGAGAAGAGATCTTATTGTAACATATGAGATTTTTAGAGGAGTTTACAGCGTCGATGCAGAGAGGTTGTTTCCCCATGTGGGACAGTCTAGGACCAGAGGGTATAATCTCAGAATAAAGGGTTGCACGTTTAAGACAGAGATGAGGAGGAATTTCTTCTCTCAGAGGGTAGTGAATCTGTGGAGTTCTTTACCCCAGGGGGCTGTCGAGGGATTAAGTATATTCAAGGATGGACAGATTTTTAATCAGGTAGGGACACAAAGATTATGGGGATACGGCAGGAAAGTGGAATAGCCATGATCTCATTGAGTTGCGGTTCAGACTCGATGGGAAGAATAGCCTATTTCTGCTCCCTATGTCTTACGATCTTAGCAGTTGTCAATGAAGTAAACTCATTGCTTTTTGAAACTGAATGACACTGCAAACAGTTAACAGTCAAATTCCATAGGCATGATGTTTCGTTAATGGATTGAAACACTAAAAAGTATTAAAAATAAATAACACCACTGTGTCAGGGATTTTTTCTCTCTTTCTCTCTCTCTCAGTCAGCCACAGGAAGTGCAAGCAGGATAAACTTCCTGTCGACCACAAGTCAGGTTGCTAGAGGCAGCGGCACTATTCATTTCCCTCACCACAGAAGTTGGCTTTGTGAGAAGTTCACTCTGATACTCAACTCCATTTTGTACCTCATGCTCCCCTGTGTAAAGCTCCGCTCAGGTCACCGAGCCTGGTTGCATCGTTCAGTGTACAAATTGTCTGATTTTCTCCATCTGGAGAGATCTTAATATTAGTTACAAAGTGGGTGTTAATGTGTGAAAACGCTGGACATCATTTCTTTTAACACATGTGCCACATTGGAGTAAACCACACAAAATTCACTTGGAACAATGCACCGCTACATTGAACTCACATTGAAGGCCCCTAGTTCAGGGTCATGCGGTAAACAAGACGAGAGAGGCAGCCTTTATACTAGTTCAATCAAGAAAGAGAATTACTTATTTTTAATGCACCAGCAATGACCCTGAATTTGTAGTGGAGCCTGAATTTAATGTTGTTTTATTGAACTTTTCTCCCATCTCCCATCAGACCTCTGGGTCTGGCTCAGGATAAGGTCATAGATTCATAGAGTCATACAGCATGGAAGTAGACCATTTGGTCCAACTCTTCCGTGCTGACCAGGTATCCCAAACTAAACTAGTCTCATTTGCCTGTGTTTGGTCCAGGGTACGGGACTCTGCATCACACTATGTTATCCAATGTCTAGGCTGTTGTTACATTTGTGTGTGTGTGTGTGTGTGTGGTGATGATGGGTGAGGGTGGAGGGATGGGAAACTGGAGTCATCAAAGCTGCAACCAGGCCTGACCTGCTGCTCAGTGGAGATGATGGTATAGAGTCATAGAGTCAGGCTGCATAGAAGAGGCCATTCGGCCCATTGTGCCTGCGCCAATCTATCTACACAGATCCCATTTTTCAACACTTGGCCCATAGCCTTGAATGTTATGATATTTCAAGTTCTCATCCACATACCTTTTAAACGTTGTGAGGTTTCCTGCCTCTGATATCCTCCCAGGCAGTTGATTCCAGATTCTACCACTCTCCAGGGGAGAAAGCTTTTCCTCAAATCCCCTCAAAACCTCCTGCCCTTCACCTTCAAATTATGCCCCTGACTATTCACCTATTCAGTCACTCCTAACTTTCCAGTAGTGGTGTGCTCTCTCTGTGCTGATCTATTTACAATGTAGCAGGGGAAAAACACTGTTCTAGTAATCTGAGGAACCCAGCTAAATGTTCTGGAAGCATAGGTTTGAATCCCACCATGGAATTTAAGTCCAATGAATTGAAAATCTACACGTGAAAGCTAGCCTCAGTCATGATGGTCAGACAAGAATTGTCAGTTGTTGTAAAGATCCATCTGGCTCACCAGAATCATAGAGGTTGGACAGATACATGACTTGAAAAGGTTGAGAGCAATATGGGCCAAAAGCATGCAAATGAGACTAGTTCGTTTAGTAAACCTGGTTGACATGGATGAGTTGGGCTGAATAGCCTGTTTCTGTGCTAGATACCTAATGTGACTTAAATAAGGAACTGTGCTGTCCTTACCCGGTCTGACTTACATGTGACTCCAGTGCCACATACTGACTGACTCTTACAGGATTGCTATGATGCAGAAGGAGGTCATTTGGCCCATCGTGCCTGCACTGGTTCTTTTTTTCAATCACCTGCCTTTTCCCAATTCAGGGTAATTGGGAATGGGCATCAAATGGCCTTGCCAGTGATGCCCACATACCATGGATAGTTTAAAAAGTACTAGCACGCAGCACAATCTGATAGCAATGGGTGTTGGCAGATGCTGAATTTGCTCCTGTTTTTCTGAGCTAGGGGTTGGGGGGCTTTCCAATGGCCATAGAATCATAGAGTTATACAGCATGGAAACAAGCCTTTCAGTCCAATTCGACCATGTTGACCAGGTTTTCTAAACTGAACTAATCCCATTAACCTGCGTTTGGCCCAATTCGTCTAAACCTTTCCTATTCATGAACCTGTCCAAATGTCTTTTAAATGTTGAAATTGTACCCACCTCTACTACTTCCTCTGGCAGCTCATTCTGTTTAGCACCACCCTCTGTGTGAAAAAGTTGCATCTCAGGTCCCTTTCAAATCTTTCCCCTCTCACCTCAAACCTATGCTGTCTAGTTTTGGACTCCCCTACCCTGGGAAAAGACCTTGGCTATTCACCTTATCTATGTCCCTCATGATTTTATAAACCTCTATAAGGTTATCCCTCACCTCCTACACTACAGGGAGAAAAATCCCAGCCCATCCAGTCTCCTGATAATTCAAACCCTCCGGTCTCGGTAACATCCTTGTAAATCTGTTTAGCACCCTTTCCAGTTTAATACCATTCTTCCTATAGCAAGGCGACCAGAACTATATGCAGTACTCCAAATATGGCCTTGCCAATGCCCTGTATAGCTGTAACATGACGTAGCATCTCCTAAACTCAATGCACCAGATCCACTGATTCAAGGGCACTGGCAAATGAATATAAAACCTCATTAGCCCATGTGGCTCAGGGTGACATTTCCTCTTTCTCTTGGTGCTGTGCTAATGAAGGCTGATGTTCTTTGATAGTGGTGGGTCCCTCAGTGCGAATAGGACATGTCCATAGCATTCCTTTTGACTGTGTAACCAGCTTGTTCCAGGCAGGGAGTTCAGCTCATTGACTATACACTGGAGGACTAGAGAGGCATCAAGCTGAGATGAGAGCCAAGCAACCCTGGAAAAAATACGTCCACACATAAGAGGAACCCAGGAACAGGAGATAGGAGGCCATTCAGGCCCTCGACCTTGGCCTATCATCCAAACAGGTCAAGGCTGATCTTTGTTGTAGCTCCATCTACCCATCTTGGTTTCCTACCTCTTGATACTGCAATCCCAAAATTAAGATTAGACTTTTCCTTGATTGTTATTATATTGTGCCAATCCCCAACTTCCACTTTTGTTCTTTATTAAATTACATTCAGTGGAGAAAAAATGAAGTGGATGTTTCCTTGTGTGGTTGATAGGGTTGGCAAGCAGAGGAGAAGGATGTGAGGTAGTTGGCAGACAGCATATTGGGGTCAAAATAAAAGTGAATTGTGATCTGGGATGAGTTGGTCTGAAAGGGTCATTGAAAGAAATTTCAACTGCAACTTCCACCAGGGAATTGGATAAGAGCTTGTAGGGGAACAAGATGCAGGGAAGAGCAGGGGAGTTGGATGAAAGCTCTTTCAAGGAGATGGCACCAGCACGATGGGCCAAATGGCTGCCGTCTGTTTTAACATTCTATGAGCAGCCATGGCAGGAGCACAGGAGCTTCTGATGGACACAGTAGAGGCTACATGTCGACCTTTTGACATTAATCTATCCTCATGTGAATACCCTACTGATTCCTAACCCTCTGTTCTTATAATTGCAGGGAAATCCATGTCTTTGGGCCCAAGATGGCCCAGCAGGTCAGATTACGAGAAGGCAAAAAAATTTTTAAAAATGCAGAAGGAGATTCCACACCCATTAACATTCTAGTCAAGTGAGAAATTCAGCAAGCACCCCTGCTCCCGGAGTGCAAATCCCTTTGTAAATGTGGGTTGGAATTCAAAAGAAATTCAAAAACCCTCTCATTGTCACCCAAGGGGAGTTGGATGGACGTTGCTCAAGAACTGGCATCCAATCATTGAAAATGAAAGGACACATTGAGTTTGTCGCATTTCTTTCTCTTTCCGGGTCCTGCAGGAGTAGAACGGTTTTGACGGGCGGAGTGGGTCAGGGGATGGGGGTTGGGGTTGGGGGGTGTGGAGGTGGTTAAGTATTTTGTAGGGTTTGATGGGGGAGGGGTTCGGGACCTTAGAACTGGACTGCAATGTTGTCATGGCATTGGTCAGGTCTCTGGCACAGGTCCCATTTGTCTTCTGCTGTATTAAACTACGTGTCTTCTTTGCTTGTTTTCTTTTTGTTCTATTCCATGTTTACAGCCAAACGGCAGCAGCCAGGGCAAGGTTGCGGGGTCTTTTCTGCTGCCGCCACCACCCCCAATGGCCAGACCCGTCCCCCTTGCAATGTCTGACACAAAATCAACCAGTGCGTCCCCAGAGGGAGGAGCCACATCACCTACATCACCGTGTAAGTGAAGGAGAACGCTTCCTCTTGTGCGTGTGTGTGCGTGTCCAAGGCTGTGTGTGTCTACGTCTGCACTGTTCTGATGACATGACCCTTCTCACACTCCTCTTAGGAGTGCTCCCCTAGAAACATTCCTTGTCACCCTTCCAATTCTAACCTTGGGGCTACACTCCTGGGAATTCAGAAAACCACTTCAAAACACAAAGGGAAAACAGAGTCCACTAGTCTGGGATCAAGGAGGATCATAGTCTAAAAAATACAGAGCCAGGAGAGGTGTTTGGAGACACTTTTGCACTCAAAAGAGTGGCAGGAGTTGAAACTCTCTTCGATAAATGAAAATTGATGTGCAGTCAATTGTAAATATTACATTGGAGATTTTTATTATCTGAAGGTGTAAGGGGTCTGGAGCAAAGGCAGGCGTATGGAATTAAGTGGCATATCAGCCTGTTATCTCTTTGAATGGCAGATCAGACTCGAGCTGTACTCTAAACTCATCCTGTTTCTATGTTCCACTGTCTAATCTATTTGGGAGATGACAAAAGAAATTGGTATTTTTCAGAGCTGTGATTGCAAACCTGAAAAGAAACTGTAATGTAGCTGTAGTGGATCCTAGCACTGTTCCCCAGCACCTAATGTGAACAAAACAGTTTTTCCTTTATATCTCCACACAATGCAGGGAATTAAGGTACAGTCTCCCAGGCTGCTGTCTTGTTCGAGAGACACAGTCAGTGGTGGTTTAACCTGTGGATAACCACACCTCACTGAAGTGCAAGAGGGTGAAGAAGAAAAGCCCTTCACAGCAGCCTCAGCCAGTGTGAGAATCAAACCTGCACTGTTGGTATTATTCCACGCCATCAAACTAGCCACCTGGCCAGCTGAGCTAAGTCCTGAGCTGTCCCCAAAGCAGAACAGTAAAGGACAGGGGACAGTAAACAACAAGCCCATTGGAAGTTTGCAAACCCTAAGCACTTCATGCTGCCCCACCAATTCTTTTACTGTTCTAGCAGTTTTTCTGCTCTTTATTTCAACCTGGAGCTCACATTCCTTTTCATTATTTTCAAGAATAATATTGTTGGTTGCATGGAGTGTATTCATGCCTTGAGCCTTAGAACAAACCGTTACAACTAGATGTCATCTTTCCTTGAGTAAGAAGTATTTAGGTTTTGTACGTTGGCACCGCAGAGGGAAAGAGAGAGAGAAAGGGTCCTTACCATTTCTAACTGGCAGGGAGCATCTCAATGCACTTCAGAACGTGTTCTGTTGTTGTCAATGGTTGGTGTTTTTTGTAAGTGTTTTCAAATTGAGGCAGAGAATGTCAAATATTTGCTGTTGCTGATACCAGCTCAGTATGCTTGTACCTGATTCCTTGCTCCATTATTTTAATGGCGATGGTACAGAGAATTTGAAACTCTGTACCACTTTTGGCCCAGTGTGCTATTGCCGACTCTTTGAAAATGTTAACCTCTTAGTCCCTTTCCCCTTTATATTCAAACCTCTTTGAAACCTCAAATCTGGATTTTGCCTGCCCTCCCCTTTCACTTGAATCATTCCATGTTGAAACAGTCACCAGCAGCCCGTAATAGAACAAACTCCAAATTGTTTCCCTCTGTGCTTATGACAGTCATCTTTAATTTATAAAAACTGAAAGAACTGCGGATGCTGTGAGTCAGGAACAAAAGTTGCTGGAAAAGCTCAGCAGGTCTGGCAGCATCTGTAAAGGATAAAACAGAGTTAACATTTCAGGTCCGGTGACCCTTCCTCAGATTAGTTCTGAGGTTGACACTGTAGGGGGAGAGATAGTAGGAACTGCAGATGCTGGAGAATCTGAGATAACAAGGTGTAGAGCTGGATGAACACAGCAGAAGGTCTAGGCCCGAAACGTCAGCTTTTCTGCTCCTCTGATGCTGCTTGGCCTGCTGTGTTCATCCAACTTTACACCTTGTTATCTCTTGATACTGTAGGGGTCCAGGTTCAAATCCCACTATGGGACCCGGTAGAATTTAAACTCAAATAATAAATCTAGAATCATAAGCTAGTTATTCATGATGGTGACCATGGCAACTGTCATCAATTGTTGTGCAGATCCATCTGATTCACTAATGTCTGTTTAGGGAACTAGATCTGCTGTCCTCACCCAGTCATGTGACTCCAGACCTACAGCCACGTAGTTGACTCTGAACTGCCCTCTAAAATAGACCGCACCATTCAAGCCTGCAGCCTCCATTACTTAGAAGGACAAGAGCAGCAGATGCACGAGAACATCGCCACCTTTAAGATCCACCCCCTCAAGGCTCACCCCATCCTGACTTGGAAATATATTGCCGTTCCTTCAGTGTCACTGGGTCAAAATCCTGGAATTCCCTCCCTAACAGTGGGTGTCCCTGCATCACAAGGATTGCAGTTGTTTAAGAAGGCAGCTTACCATCACCTTTTCCAGGGTTATTAGGGATGGGCATTAAATGCTGAACTAGCTAAGTTACACCCTCATCCCATAAATGAATTTGAAAAATGGTCCCATGAGCCACTCAGTTTAAGGGTAATTAGGCACAGGCAGAAAACGTTGGCTGTGCCAGCAATGTCCATGTCCCACAAAATAATTTCTTTTTCCTCTCTAGGTAGTAGCTCATTGGCCAGTGAAAATATTGGCAGTGATATCAGAACTTGTATAAGTGATTTGTATTATTGTCTCAGTTAATACATCAGATCAAGGACATGCTAGTTGTCCGTTAAAACCATCAACAGTAATTTCAAGGCTATGAGTGGTAAAAGCTTATGGTTTCTGTTGAGAGTGGTTCAAACCATACCCACATGATGCTACCTAAAATTACAGGCTCCATCCTTAGCTATTAAGATCATAAGATGTAGGCCATTCAGCCCACTGTGTCTGCTCTGCCATTCAATGCGATCGTGGCTTTAGCTTTTGAAGCAAATGGGAGATAGAGCCATCGGCTCCATTCATATTCAGGTAAGTTCCTAAGTCAGAAAACAAACCTGCAGAATTAATCAGTACCTGAATTGAGCGAAATGTTGGCCAGTGGTGCCCACATTACTTGATAAGGAATGAAGCAAAGAGGCCAACAATGGGCAGTTGAGGGAACCAGCTGGCTGGATGTCTGCCTGCCCCTCTTATGTGGCTAAGTTTACATGGTGATGCCTACCTGTACACATTGACCCTGTGGGCACTGGACCACCTAACATGCTTTGTTATTCCCCCTCATCCAATTTTAACTTGTGTTCCCAAGTTTTGTTTAAAGCTGATTACAGTGTGAAAGGGGGTCTTGCTGACACTTAACAATGATTGCTGAGTCTTAAAAAGGAACATAAAAGAGCCAGAATGAGGTGGAAGCAAGTTTGTGCAAAGTTTGATCCGGCTCGATTAAACAACAATGGACTGGGATAAGTCCCAAGCTGTCCAGTTGAGGGAAAGCTATCATGCATGTTTGATTTTTTTATAATGACGTTTCTGAGGACCTGCTGACTACAGAATTAAACCAAAGCTTTCTGAGTTGTCACATTTCGCCAGAAGAATTCAGACACAGATCCCTTAGAACTTTATGGAGAATCTGCATAGTGTGTTCCTCATTGTTGAATCTCCAACTTAAACTGATTTATCATAAGGAACAAGCCTTCACAATTGGGTAAAACAAAACAAAGAACTGTGGATGCTGGAGGTCTTAAACAAAAACAGAAATTGTTGGAGAAGCTCAGCAGGTCTGGCAGCATCTATGGGAAGAAAGCAGAGTTAAAGTTTGAGTCTGGTGACTCTAACAGTTCTGATAAAGAGTCTCCCATCTCAAAACGTTAACTCCGTTTCTCTCTCCACAGATGCTGCCAGGTCCGCTGAGTTTTACCAGCAATTTCTGTTTTGGCTACACTATCGGGTATTTGTTCAAAGTTTGTTTGGTGGATAGGCAGGGAATTTGGCGAGGAACCCTACTGTGTGTTTCTGCAAGATGATCTGCAGGGAATTGGCTTCCCCTTGAGGCTGAGGTAATTCAGATATTCAGAAAGAAAGAGATCCAGAATTAAATTCCAAACGATCGCATTCGTCCAGGGAGCAAGTGCACAACACAGGCAAGCCTGTGGGGAGAAAGGCCAGCAAGATGCCACCACACTCAGAGGGGCCAGCCTAGACTCGATGGGCGGATTGGCTTCCTCCTGTATCATAACAATTCTTTGATTCTGTGACATGGAAGAGCCCAAACTGGCACCACATTTGATTGCAGTCTTGCAAGTGATGGTGCAAATGAAGCAAGAGTTAAGTGAGAAAAACTTTTCCCACACAGTTAGGGTCTGGAATGTACTGTCTGAAAGTGTGGTGGAGGCAGGTTCAATTCAAGAGTGCATTGACAATTAATTTGATTGGAATAGTATGCAGGAATACGGAGATTGGCACTAAGTGTAGAACCGATGCTGGCACAATGAGCTGAATGGCCTCCTTCCATGTTGTAACAATTCTGTAATTTTTAATGGGGAGCTCCAAATAAATGGGGTGGTGGGGTGAGGAAGGAATGATGGGTTTGGTTAAATAATAAACTTTAAACAAGCACGTGGTGTCTGATAAAGAGTCCAAGGTAAATGCTCAGAAGGTCAGTGTTAAGTTGTGCCAACGCTATAGGACTGGGGATAGTTTCCCTATCAGAAGGTCATTCTGAGGCTTTGCTCCTGATTTGTTTCATGTCTCCCACTGGGCAATGGAATTGTGGAGGTTTCAGATGAAACTGGGTTGCATACAGATGACTAACTGTTATAGAATAAAATAAGGGACCCTTGGACCATGGGACAGGTGGGTGAGGAGATGTGGTGTTAGTGACCAGGAGGTTGAGTTTACTAAGGTTGTGGGGTGGGGGTGGACTGGGAGCTGGGAGGTGGTTTTCAACCTTAAACCTTACAGTGTACCTGCTGCAACTTATCTCGTGGAGTCACAACTTTTCAATCTCCCTCTCTCCAGCTCAGTCACTCACTCTGCAGTCCTCTCAAATCACTCAGACCCACTCTAGATTCTCGCACGTATAGCTCCCCACTGTGGGTGGGGGAGATGTCCTGGGAATGTGGGACTAAAGGACGGATATTTCAAAATGGAGAAGAGGCCTTGAAATTGAGCACAGTCAGTCATCCTACTGATGAGGTCGGAAGTCACATGACACCAAATTATAGTCCAACAGGTTTATTTGAAATCATAAGCTTTCGGGGCACTGCTGCTTCATCAGGACTTCACCTGACCAAGGGGCAGCGCTCCAAAAGCTTGTGATTTCAAATAAACCTGTTGACTATAACTTGGTGTCATGTGACTTCTGACCTTGTTCACCCCAGTCCAACATCAGCACCTCCACATCATCGTACTGATGGACAGTCATCGCAAAGCTCACCGGTACCCACTTGTTATGTTCTCTGGGCGACATGACAGAATTTGGTCGGCACCTTCAGGATCAATTCCACTCTGCGCACACCTCCATCCTCCATCTAACACCCCTCCCCAGCAGAGCACCCTCAGGAGACAGAGAGAGAGACATAGACAGAGAGAAAGACAGACAGAGAGACAGACATGGGATGAGAGATACAGAGAGACAGGGATAAAGAAACAGACAGAAAGAGAAAGACAGAGAGAGGACGGAGAGAGAGAGAAAAAACTTTGAGCAGCCTAACTAGCATGCGAAAAGGGTTTGTCAATTCCTTATCATGTAACATAAAGTTTTCCTCATACCTTTCTGACCATCTGAGGCTGTTTTCTTTTCTCTGTATCTTGTTGCAGCATATTCAACGCCCAGCTCCTCCTCTGCAAACCGGTTTGTCAGTATTGGACCACGAGATGGGAACTTTGTAAATATCCCACAGCAGTCACAGGTTAGTGGAATGCCTTCTGTTCACAATCTCCACAAAGACCAGTTAGACAAGAGACATATGCCAAAGATTACTGACAGGCACACTACACCTCTGCTGGTTTTGGTGAATGTAGCAGCTTTCCTGGTTCAGTTTTATTCTGATGTTACTAACAGCTGATTTCCTCAGGAGTTGTCCTCAGGTCAAGGAGAGGCTAAACATTGTACACCGTTTTGGGAAATTCTAGCACCTACTGATAAACTTCCCTGTCCCTGCCCCTGCCAACATCTTATCTTTTTTAACCTAGATAGAAAAGCAAGCAGCAGTGGGCAGGCTTTCTCCCTCATTTTATCCTGCCATGGTTGACGTCTGGAGCCTGACTGATGCACAATGAATGAAAGACTTTTAGTCATAAAAATATTGAGAAACCTTGTTGAATTCAGGATTAGATCAGGGGTAAGAAAGGATTAGATCAAAGATTTGGCAAATCAGAAAGTAAATGTAAAGTCACCATATTCCCATTCTCTCATTATAGAGAGAGAGAGAGATGACTGGTGGTGGCTTTACCTGAGGGTCACCACACCTAGGCGATGGGCAAGATTGAGAAGGCAGGCCTTCATGGTAACCTCAGTCGGTGCAAGAATTGAACCCCACATCAGCCTGCATCAGCCATCTATCCAACTGAGATAGCTGCGCCCAAATCAGAAAGTAGGGGTGAGTTAAATGGGGCAGTATATCTGCTTTAATGGTTGGAGATTATAGAAGGAATGAATGAAAGGGGTAATGAGAAGTAACCCCATTTTGAGAGTAAATGAATCAATGAATTATTACAGGAGATTTGATTTCAATAGAGTGCAATGGGAAAAGGAGCCATGCATAGAATGGCATATATTTGCTGTTTGAAGAGAATGGAGAGAGTGATTGACAAGAACCGTGATAATAATGACAGCGATTACGCAGAGAAGCAGAAAGGATGTAGCTGAAAGAAAATAACGAGATTGTTTAGGAATACTTAATAATGACTGAACATTCACCTATGATGTAAAAGCAGAAAGTGCTAGAGAAACTCAGTGAAGTCTGGCAGCATCCATGGAGAGACAGAAAACAGAGTTAACATTTCGGCTCTGGTCTTTCACAGTTCTGAAGAAGAGTGATACCAGACTAGAAACCTGCTGACCTTCTCCAGCACTTTCGGTTTTTGTTTCAGATTTCCAGGATCTGTGGTATTTCGCTTTGATTAAATTATGATACAGTGCCTATATGGGAACCAGGGGATTTACAAGGTCCTCAAGAAGCCAGAATAATATAGATTTTCTCATTATTCATTCATGGGATGTGGGCATTGCTGGCTAGGCCAACATTTATTGCCCATTCTTAGTTGCCCTCGAGCAGGAGATGGTGAGCTGGATTCTTGAACTACCGCAGTCTATGGGCTGTAGGGACACGCACAGTGCTGTTAGTGGGTCATATATACAATTCAGAGATCTGTGGGATACTATTAAATAATGAGAAGGTGTTCAGCTATTGAGCACCCTCTTGCGAAACATAGAAAACATATCCTGCTTCAGGTTCCAGTAAAGTTTAATATGAGTTGCATAACCACAAAAATGTAAAGATGCCCGAACTATAAAGCTTGATTCCCTCCACAACAAGGCCTCCATCACCCCTATTAAACGCAAACTTATCAACCTAGGAGCAACATGCCAATCTACATAACTGTGAATTGACCACTTGATACCACAGAATAAATTTGTATCATCTCAGTCAAATAACCTGTGTCCAGGCTGAATCCAATAATCCAATAATGGGCTCTTTTCAATATCCTGGTGGGCACCCAGCTCATTTTAAAGGAATGGACAAAATGTTAATGGCTTTGGATGTGACCATTGCAATCCATTCTTCCTGCCACACAGGGACATCTAAACTTCTCTCATATCTCACTTGAGCTGTTTCACAATTTGCAACTTGCCCATCCACACTTCCTTCCATGATCAAACTAAGTCATGATAACCAGAGCAAATTATTTTTTTCAATTGCAACAGGAACACTGACAACCAGCATCAAGGCCTCCTGAAATGCAGTTGAATTCCTTATTCCCATCAGCTAAGGGATGACAATTGGCTGTGGTCTAGACTGAGTGTGGTTGGGAAGTTTCTTGATCAAAGGAAAGCTTTCTTTCCCTCCTCCCCCACTGCACTTGTTTCACTGGTACCAGCCTTTATTGCATCAAATATCACACCCATAACTGGGATTTGAAAATCAAACCTCTAGGTTGTAAGTCCAGCACTATAACTACTACACTAACATACATTTAGCAGCTGCTGTGGAAAGAAATCTTGCCTATCCTCTTGATGGCACAAGAGCAGTAATCTAAAGTGTTGGACGGAAGGCTCCTATCGGTTAGATTGTTTCAGAAAGGACAAAGTTGGAGGAATTCTGTGGTTTTAGTTCTTTAGGTCATTGCAAGGTTAGGCGTATTTATTTATTTGACGCCAAGGAAGCTGGGGAAGGATGGTTTGTTTAGACTTTGTTGTGGCTTGAAAATCTGCCAGTAGAGAGGAAAATAACTGCAATTAAACAAGCTTGACCAGAATCTAAGACAGGATACGGTGAATATGCAGAAATGAATGGAATATTGTTCAGTGTTTGTTTTTGCATTGTTTAATGAATGCAATATGATATGGACCCACAAGGCTGAATGCCAATTTATATAATACTAAAAACAGGCATTGTCATAGAATTATAGACTGATACAACTTCGACGGAGGCCCTTCAGCCCATTATGCCTGGGCCACTGCTATGAGAGGTCCATCCAACTCTTCCTCCTAGCCCAATATGTTTCTTTTGCTTCAAGAATATATCCAATTCCATGTTGATCGTTGCTATTGGAGCTGCTTTCAAAGTTGTTTCAGTGTCAAAAATCCATTGCAATCTTAAAGCTGGCATTGAATCCACAATGAGTGGCCACATGACATGTTAATGTAGAAGGTCAATGTGTCATTTTGGGCAAGTTGGAATATGTTTTCATCATTGGCATTGAGAGATGTTGCTGGGCAGAACTGGGGGCAGTTCTATCAAGTCACGTTGTACCTGAAGATAAAGTCCAAAGAAGTGACAACTATTGTGCTCTTAATGCTGAGATATCAATGACAGAGAAAAAAAAGTCAGTTGATATTAAACTGATAGTCCCCGTGCATTGCTTCCAGCTTGTTTCTAGGATGTTTATGTAATAAGATTATTAATTGAGAAACCAGGAAGAAGAGATCAAGATCCATAATTTGGAATTCATCAGGGTTTGACAGATTTCTAGGTATTAAAGTCATCAAAGGATATGGGGATAGTGCTGGAAAAATGGTGCTGAGGTGATCGGCTATGATTGAGTTGAATGGCGAGGAGATTTGAGGGGCTGAATGGCATATTCCTGCTCCTGTTTCCTAGGTAAGTTTCCGATGTGCTATGCAAGATGATGAAAGCAGGAAAGAAGGGATACGGGAAATTAGGAAGTCCAGTTCGGGTGACGCCCAACTTGTGCCGGAAATTTCTAGATTGGTCTTGGACAGGGTTGTAGGATGGTGACCAGTGAGGAATTTCCTGTGGTTTTCAAGTTAGACAATGACAATGCTGTCAATACAAAGGGTCATTTACGAAGGTGCAAAAACATGCAGTTTGGTGTATGTGGTGCTGAGAAAGAGCAGGATGGGAAGGTTCACAGACCCACGGATTTTATATTAATAGCAATGGAATCGGATGATATGTGTGAGAGAAAATGAAAGAAAAAAACCCAGATGAACAGGAAGGATTAACTATCAGATAACAAGCTTTTGTTGCAAAAGCAGAAATTGCTGTGGCAGTTGACTGTGCTTTCTCTCCCCATAGATGCTGCCACGACCTGCTGAATTTCTCTAGCTCTCAGATTTCCAGCAAACACAGTTTATTGTTTTCTATTTAAGTTTTTGTTGCATTTTGATGATGTATTACACTAGTATGACAGTGTGCTTTACTTGTGTAAAGGTTTGTTATAACTGTGTGTCAGTGTGTTTTACCTGTGTGTCAGTGTGTTATATCTGTAGGTCAGTGCATTATACCTGCGTGTCAGTGTGTTATAGATGTGTGACGCAACTTGTTATATCTGTGTAACACAGTGTTGTGTAACAATGACAATATGTTGTATGTGTGAGTCAGTGTGAAATATACTGATGTGTCAGTGTGCTAAACGTATGTGATAGTGCGCTATACCTGTATGGCAGTTTGTTATACCTGTGTGATAATATATTGTGCCTGTGGGCCAATGTGACAGCGTGTTATACCTGGGTGTGAATGTGTCATACCTGTGTGACAATATGTATCAGACCTGTGTGACAGTGTGCTATACTTGTGCAACAATGTGAGTTATAACTGTGTAAGAGTATGTTATAGCTATGCGACCATGTGAGTTATACCTGTGTGAGTGTGTTCGACCTGTCTGTCAGTGTGTACAATACCTGTGTGACAGTGTATTAGACCTCCATGACAGTGTGTTGTATTTGTGTAACAGTGTGTTACACCTGTCTGTCAGTGTGTTATACATGTATAAAAGTATATATAATACTTGTATGACAATGTATAATGCCTGTAGGATTATGTGGTATACATGTAGGACAGTGTGTTGTACTTAGGTGACCACGTTGTATAATTGAGTGACACAATGTGTTGTTCCTGTGTGACAGTGTATTCTACCTCTGTGACATTATGTTGTACCTGTCTGGCTGTGTTTTATAACAATGTGACAGTGTGTTCTCCCATGTATCAGTGCCTTTAAGCTGTATTATATTTGTGTGACAGCGTGTTATACCTGTGTCTCATTGTGTGCTGTACCTGTGGGTCAGTGTGTTATATTTATGTAATAATGCGCTATACCTTTTTGACAATGAGCTGTACCTGTGGGTCAGTGTGAATATTACCTGTGTGACAGTGTGCTGTACCCGTGGGCCAGTGTGAATTATATCTGTATGACAATAGGCTGTACC